TGGATGTCTTTTTCTTCTCGGCCTGTGTAGTAGGAGTGATCATTTCCAGTGACCCCGGATGTAAATGGACCTCATTCTCTGTGCAGATCTGAGAAGCAGTCCTTGCACCGAAGCCAAGAACAGAGACAGTGGACTGAGAAGAACTGTCACTGTTTTCCCAAGGAGTCACACATTCTAAACACATGCTGTCATGTCTCTCCTGGGGCTAAAAGTGGTCCTCAGCCAATGAGACTTCATTTACCCCCGGCTACCAAGCACAGTTCTACCTCCTAGCTGTAATCCTTCAGTTTACCACCTCCCTCACAAGAACACGACTGGTGTAAAATAAAATGCCAGATACCTTTTATGTTGACAGAACATTACTGCCTGAAATCTGAGCATCTCATAAGTTAGGGCTGCCATCAGCCCACTTATCAGAACACGTTTTTTTATGTAGACTTTTGTTCTGAGAATATACACCAGTCAACCATGACATTAAAACCACCTGCCTAATATTGTGTAGGTCCTCCTCGTGCCACCAAAACAGCTCTGATCCATTGAGGTATGGACTCCACAAGACCCTGAAGGTGCCCAGCAGTATCTGGCACCAAGATATGAGCAGCAGATCCTTTAAGTCCTGTAAGTTGCCTGGGGGGGGGGGGCTATATGGATCAGACTTGTTAGTCGAGCACAGCCCACAGATGCTGGATCGGATTGAGATGTTGCAAATTTGGAGACCAAGTCAACACCTTGACCTCTTGTTCATGTTCCTCAAACCATTCCTGAATAATTTTTGCATTGTGGCAAGGCACATTATCCTGCTGAAAGAGGTCACTGGCATTGAGGAATACAGTTGCAATGAAGGTGTATACCTGGTCTGCAACAATACATGTGAAAGTAACACCCCATGAATGTCAGGACCCAAGGATTCCCAGTAGAACATGGCCCAGAGCATCACACTACCACCAACTGGTCTGCGTCCCATAGTGCATCCTGGTGCCATCTCTTTTCCAGAAAAATGACACACAAGCACCCAGCTATCTACATGATATAACAGAAAACGTCACTCATAAGACCAGGCCACCTTCTTCCATTGTTCCTTGATCCAGTTTTGACGTTCATATGCCCACTGTAGGCACTTTCGGCTGTGGACAGGCTTCTGCATGACAGCCTCATACACAGAAAGCTGCGATACACTGTTTTCTGACACCTTTCTATCATAGCCAGCATTAACTTTTTCAGCAATTTGTGCTACAGTAGCTCTCATGTGGGATCAGACCAGAAAGACTAGCCATTGCTCCTCACACGTATCAATGAGCCTTGGGCACCCATGACCCCATCGGCGGTTCACCGTTTGGCCTTCCTTGGACCACTTTTAGTCAGCACTAATCACTGCATACCGGGAACACCCCAAAAGACCTGCCATTTTGGAGATGCTCTGACCCATCAAAATTTGGCCTGTGTCAAAGTTTTTCATTACACTTACCCATTTTTCCTGCTTCCAGGACATCAACTTCAATAACTACTATTCACTTACCTAATATTTAATGGTGCCCTTGACAGGTGTCACTGTAATAAGATAATCAGTGATATTCACTTCACCTGTCAGTGGTTTTAATGTTATGGTTGATCAGTGTAGCCTGAGAATATGTTCAAGATGTAATGTAAAATGTAATACAGCAGAATTGATATTGAAGGCTACCTTCCTTGATTTTGACTCATGCTTGATTCAGTAAATGTTTTTTACTTCATTGAACAAAATAACCACTAATCAAACTGCATGTAAAATGTCAAAACCACATTGATTGTTTACCTGTTGACCTTTGTTGAATGATTTCCATCAGTTCCTCGATAAACTTCTTGCACCTGGCCAGGCTGACATCTCCTACAAAGGCTTTCTAAAACTTCTGACCAATACAAGGGGAGAACTTCCTTCTGATAATTCACTATCCTAGAAAACTATGCTGGCCCATGAAATCGTTCATACTGATGAATCACACAGGGCACGTGTGTGATATATCCTTTTTACATCAATATCTGTCTATTTTTAAATTTTTAAATTTCCAATGCAATATTTATTCACCCTCCTGTTTATTATCATCTCTATATGTTATACTTGTTTATTTTCATTCAGAAATTGCACATTGTCTAGTTTTGTCTTTTGAGTGGTTGTATACTCTGCAGTCTGTAATCACAAACGATTTCCCCCAGGGCAAAATAAATGTTTTCTGATTCTGATTAATCCTGATTCTGATTTAACACTGGGAAGCATTTTTAAGGCAATATTCTTAGATGTCCTCTACAATAATTAGATCCCTTATTAATTAGAGCAAAATTTTTAGATAATTTGAGGTGAGTCAAGGATAGGTAGACGCTGAGGATATGAGACAAGAGCTCTACACACCACAGTGCCAAGCACAACAAAATCCTCTTTTCAGCACAGCGTTTTTCATTTACGAAAGATAAACAAATGCAACAGATTTCTACAATATTATGGACCTTTTTCATTTTGATTAAATTTCCAGGAATAGATCAAACAAATATCAATCAAATACCATATTCCTTAAAAGCTTGGTATTCTTTATGGATCTTAGCCAAGCTCTGATCACAGAGACACTGTTTTGGATAACTTGAGGTCAGGTACAAAGGTAATTAATACTCCGTGCTGGCAAGAAAACAGCCATGTGGGCTTTTTAAACTGTCACCATTTCCTTTTTCATGTGCTCCCGTAAAAACACAGTGCTCAGCCCCTCAACAGGTGACTGAACTGTTTCATGTAATCATAATGTACTCAGTGATGCACAGAGGGCTCCATACTAAAAGCAAGGCAAGTCAAAAAGACTATCTCTGGAACAATATGAAAAATTCTGTATTACGATATAGAAATAAAACATAAAAATCTGTCCACATAACCATAAACCCACATTAAATGTTTTCACATCAACCTGCACTAATGTTTTAGACTTGAGAAACACCAACTCACCAGTTACAGAGTTTCATGGCAGTTACACAGATAAACTAGAACATCCAAAGCATTTTGGTCTATGATACTTCACAAAAGTAAAAAGAAAGGTTCTTGCATATACCTTAATACCAACAATGATACTAAAATTAGTCATGTATACAAAAAACTTAAGAGGTACGATATATTAAATATTTTATACTGTCTAGTTAAATGAAAGTAGAAGATTTTACAAAGGACAACAGGTAATATCTCAACGTGCTACATCCTAAAGATCAGTACCTGGGCACCATTCAAATGACTATACCTCAAAAGCACTTTTGCTATGGTACAGACCATAATTTCATCTGGGTAGGTGTTTTTTGGATTAGTATTTTTGTGTTGAATCAGTGCTATCCCAGATAACAGGGATCGTTCCTAGAACTGTAGCCAACGTTACGTAAAGGTCTTTTCAAAGTTGGCAGAGAACATTACTGTGACTTTAATGGAACGTTATTCCCACGTTATACATTGTAACAAAGGTTCTGCCAACAATAGCATGCTAACATTATTACTCAAACATCCGTTTAATGAAATTAAAATTGAAAAATATTGTTTTATAATAAAAATATTATTGTATAAAACTGATACATGTGTATACGTCAACGGCACCACGCAGCCTTGAATTCATGACCTTAGCAGCGTACAGCTACAGGACTACCCACTGCTCTACCGTGTCTATCGCTTGTTTGCAACTTATTATTCTTAGTTGCAGTAATAGGATAATATTCTGGGAACATCAGGAAAACTGGACACTTTAAATGTTTCCAAACCTCAATCGTAACATTCAGTAAACGTTCCTAAATGATGATATTAAGGCTGATGTAGCTCTAATACTATTGTACATGATTAACAAAAATATGGATGAAGATGCCCCATATTCTTACCGTCTTTATACCTTCTGCAGCTGCCAAGGGCATTTGCTAAAAACCATTTTACAGCTGAGGTACCTTAACGTTGTGATCAGAGACAAACTGAAATACAGGCACATCCACTCTGAGGATACTTTTCATCACAATTGATCATGTCTTTATTTCACACAATATACAAAGTTGAATCTAATCAACCCTCCCTTACCACACAAAATGAACATTTTAAATAACGTTTCCCACACCTTTTTTCAACAATATTCTCTCTTAACCTAAAACCTACTTTCAACATATATTACATTTCAAAGGTTATCTCAACAACACTGCAGTACAGCTTGGTAGTCCTGCATTCACACACTGTACAGTGTGTGTTTGCATACTGCTTTAACACACGTCGAAAGGGTTGCCAGAGATGACAGATTCTGCATCTCTGCATTTACTTATACCACTGTACAGCAGCTGCTCACATTCATTCATATATTAATGCAAATGGACGCATGAAACACCCTAACACTGGATGTTTCATCACAGTCTTTGCCTTGACCTATTTGGCGAATGCTCAAGGTGAGAAGGCAGTGAAACTGAAAATTTCATGTGGGAGACAGGAGCTTAATGTCACCCATGTCACAGGGCAAAATCCTAATTACTGCTAAAGCCATTACTCAATATTGATCACTAGAGGTTTATCAGCAGTGGCATACATCTAACAAAATTTCTCAGTTCTCAGAAATTATTTTTTTAGCTAACCTGCAAACACAATTCCAGATATATCTATACCTACCACTGAGGTGTTGATTATGCACAAACCAGGTACATTTAAAAATAACCGCTGAAAATTAATAAAAAGTAAATGCAATAAAAACAACCTTCATAGATACTTTGGTCCAAGATAGTCTTTGTATAATGTTAACGAGCTCCAAAATGAGAATACAGTATTAACGTACTTTGTACTTATTATTTTGACCTCTGATGTCGGAGAAATAAGTTAACAAATGTTCGTACATGTCAACTTGAGCTAAGTTTGTATTGAGAGAAAAGCATCGCCTGCAATCCCGGACAAATGTAGAAAAAATGCCGTTTAAATGACATCTAGCAGGAGAAAACAGACGCACGGCGTATAGCGGTTCAGCAAAGCGCTTTTACAGTCTTACCAGTCACACATAAAGTGAGCGCCACCCTGGATGCCACTGAACTGCTCGAAACCGGCTTGATTGTCCTGTTTTCCTCTCCCTCTCCTTCCTCCCTTTATTTTGAAGAAAGCGGCCGGCGTCCCGCCGATGTTGCCCCGGCTGCTGTCTATGGTGTTCAGGGGAATGAATGATGATCTGGGTACCGACACTTCAGAGTGGGCTGTTGTGTTGCTCCTGCAGGTTCCGCCTCCCGCGCCGCGCTTCCAATCATGAAGATTTCGGAAGCTTCAGCCAAAAAGATGCTCCTGTACATCTGCTACAATCATGCTCTTCTGCACCTTAAGACAGCACGTCGGCGCACGCATGGAAGCAGATCTGGAAGGAAGTGCATCATTAAAAATATCGATAGCAATAATAAACTAACCATTTCTAGATTTAAAAAAGAACGAGCGCCCCAATGTTGCACAGTAACACCAATGCGTGTCTAACAGATCAACAGCACAGGCAGTTCGTTCGCTAACTTCATTTTAAGGATAAAATGTAGGCTACCTGTCAAGGTAAAAAAGCCGAGACTTAGAAAGACCCGCTATGAAAATTGCCTGACAGCACGTATACGTCAGGGAGGTGCCATGCTTCTCGCTGTACCATTTCTAGGTCATTCATGCCCGTAGCGCTCACGAGTGCCTGATGACGCCATAGGGTCGGAGACACCAAAGATCACCTTTACTCCTGCTGTCCACTGCACTCAAACCTGCCAGCACACCAGAAAAAAAGTACAGTAACAGCGAAAAGTTCTTCCGCTTCAGTTGACCGATTGTTTAATTGGGCTTGATGAGAATGAATTCCGTTTGTGAATACACAGCTCAAACGCTTGCCTAGGTTTTACAAGAACTGTTTTAAGCGATTTTTAATGCAGTAATAGATTATAGATGATGAGTTTGTGGGTGATTTAAAGAGAGCTGGCAACCTCGAACATCTATCAGGCTTTAGGACCACTGGCATGGGATAATAGTAGTCAATTTGCTTTATCTTACCTGGCATAATATTTTATATATTGTGTTTAGAATTTGTATTTCATTTTAAATATAAAAGGTACCCTGAAGATAAAAATTTACAGACTGGGGTGGAGTTGGGGGGAGGGGGGTTCCTGTTTATGGGTGTCGTTGGGTCCGATCACTTGGGGCTATAGACCCCAGTATTCTAAGCCCAGCCCTGAGTATTTTAGCCCCAATGCTACTCTTTCATCAAAAAGATAAAAGTCGAGCCCCAGGTAAACCTGACTAAAGCCCCTGATCTTTTCAATAGCTAGAAACTCCCCTGGTCCAGATTAAATTGTATTTTTGTCCATGTACAAAAATGTGGGATTTGCATATTGTTTCAAAATGGGACACAGAGATTTATTTTTCAATACAGGACGGGAGGCCACTCTAGGTTTGAAATTTTACTAAACAAGGTTAGTTCAGGCCCCTTTCAAGCAGATCCCCTGAATTTCAGGCCGGGTAAGCTGTGCTTTAAAGCACCCATGTGTGTGCAGTGCCCATACTGGGGATACTGGGGATAACATCAGGTCTTCTTTTTATCTCTGTAATCTCAGAGAACCTCCAGACTTGTAGGCCGGACTCCTTCCCTCCTGCTCAGTGTGTGGAATCTGCAAGATCTTCTTGCGTTTGCATAGCTTTCCACACAAAACAGGCTGTTAGATTCACTAGTTTCCCTAAATTGCCCATAGAGGGTGAGTGTGTCCCCTGCACTAGTCTGGCATCTCACCTGGGGACCTCTGTTACCCTGTATATCCTGGGATATGCTCCAGGCGGCACCACATAAGGGGTTATGGAAAAAAAACCAAATTCATCTGAAATAGTTTATTTTCCGTTATTCCGCAACCTTACTTATTCACCTTATGGGATTTTTAAACTCAGCTGTAAACTCATTTAGAAAGAATTGTTGCAATTTTCTAATGGTGCTCCTCTGTTAGCTAATAGCTGCTAAAGTAGATGGCCCCTTTGAGAAAGGTCACACAACAAGATGTATCCCAGGTGCTGGTCTCGGGAAGATGAGAATAACACAGTGTGCATGCAGACACAATGGGCTGGGCAGGCCGCCGCCACAAAGCTCCTCTTGTGTAAATTGCAACGTTAGCAGAGCTTTCGGCTCTGTCATTTCAGATCCTCTCGGAAAGCCCATTGTCTACTGTCATTCAGTGATAGATAGATAGATAGATCGATAGATAGATAGATCGGTACCGTCTCTCTCTCTCTCTCTCTCTCTATATATATATATATATATACAGTATATATATATATGTGTGTGTGTGTGTGTGTGTGTGTACATATATATACACACACAGTACACACAGAAAGTCCTGGGAAGCTTGCATCATTCAGTATAAAATACTGCGAATTTATTGGTTTTATAACAATCTCTGTACATTTTATTTTGTTCATTTGTTTACAAAAATTCTACATCATACTAGAAACAACCAGTAGTTTTAAATGACACATTCATTTCAGGTAGTAAACTGAAACCCAAACTTTAGTTCTAAAGGAGCTGTTTTGAGTTAAAAAGTACACTGACAAGCAGTCAGTTAGGTGCTTTTTAATTAATTAATTAATTTCTTAAATTTATTAAGTCTTACTATTCTGGATTCACTCAAATGGCAAGCAGTGGCTGAACATGGATGGCATTGCAGTTTTTTCATTTTCAAGTATTTACAGAAAAATATGTAATGTAAAACAAAAAGCAAATGCACTTAAACCTGTGATTGGTGTTGTATATTTGTTTGTTCAGGATTAGAGTGGGAACTAAATTCACAGCATTAACTTAGAGACTTGTCTACATTGAAAGCTGGGGCTGGAGTCAAACCCCAAAATACCTATAACACTAACGGTGAGACATGATGATTGTATCCTATCCACCAACACAATTTGCCAGTCCAAGTTTGGTTTATTGTTTTGTGTGTGACATAAAGAATGAGAGATGGTTTTCACCTGGCCTGCACGGTTTCCATGGACACAGCAAATTAGAAAAAGAATACCTATAACTCTATGTGTCACTCTAATTAGGAATGAGCGCCCTGTGATTTATGTTTAGTGCCGGCTCATTTTGCCAGTACATGTATTCATTGGCAACCGCTTAGGTAGATTCAGCTAGTCGTTTAGGAAATCTAAAGAGGCGATTTCACCGCTTGTCAGGCGAGGAATATAAACACCAAATTAATGTCATGGACAATAATTAAGTACTGAGCTTGTAGCGATGTTGAGGGTAAATTATCTTCTCGAGATAAACAACCAGTTGCCTGATTGTTCATCCATCTTCAGACTGCTGCTGGCGAGCATTGCATCGGCAGAAGAGCAGGTTAGCCCAGATCAGGCTTTCAAATGTCATAGACTCTACCTGGTTCTGAGGCATTTCCAAGCTAACTTGGAGGAATAATTCTGCCACTATGCCCTGGTTCTGTCCTGGGGGCTCCATACAGTGGGTTGTGGAACAAGTCCCTGCAGTTAAGTTCACACTACCTGACTTTTAAAGTCATCAGATCACTATAATGATCACACTAAACAACTTGTCATCTTGTAATCAGGAGTCTTGGTGTACACACTACATGACTGATCAGTGACAAGGGGTCACACACTATGTGTCACCAGGAGGAATCCCAAACAAGTCTATCTGGTCCCCAAACTACGTTTTATCACAAAAACACATGCGAGAAGTGGCACGTGGAAATATAAAATATGTGTATGCTTTGTAATGAGATTATTTGAACTGTATTTTCAGGCAGACTATTTTTGTTTCAAACATTTACTGAAAAGGTAAACATTTAGCACTTTTATTTGCATATAAGCCCCATTCAGCAGTATTGAAGGCCTATATCTTCTCTGTTATGCCGTCTGCTGTCATTTAGCACTTTTATTTATAGAAAGTGTGCAAAATAACAACCTGCACAAAAAAATTAAGAGTAACACTTTACTTAAAGCAGTCATCATAATGTATTATAGATAACTTCATAATGCATTAAAATATTATAAACATGGCTATAACTATAAAAAGGCATCATAGCCATGTTTATTATGAATTTTAAATGCTCTATGAAGCTCTCATCTATAATTCACTCATTGCCAGTCCCAACACTTTTCACACTACAGGATTTGGAGTCACCGACAAGTCTAGATATTTAGCATCCCAGATATCTGACGGGCGTCTGCATTGTAGTTCACACATAGCGATCGAGTGCCAATTTGCCAGCGCCGATCAAACATCGATTTGCCTCCAATCTGGGGGTTTTGTCGGCGACATCCAAAAACTGCTAGAGAGCGGAAAATCGGGGCTAAAATCGTGTAGTATGAACTTAGCATTAGTAAACCAACCCGATGGCATCTTTATGAGATGCCCAAACCACCTCAGCTGACCTTTCTCTATTCAAAGGAGCAGCAGTGCTATTTTGAAATCACTCAGGATCTCCAACCTCATCACACTATCACCGAGAGTAAGCCTGAGAACCTTATGAAGAAACCCAGTTTCAGTTGCTTTTATTCTTAACCTTGTTCTTTCTGTCATTACCCTCATGCTTGTGACCACAGGTGATGATGTGGATGTAGATTGATCAGAAAATCATAAGCCTCATCCAGGAACTCTTGCTTCACCACCAGACCTGCTTGGTGCCTTCAACACAGCATCCATCAAACCAGTGTGCCTGTGCCTCTCACAATCTGTTAGCTGAGAACAAGATAGTCAAATACCACTAAAGAAAAATTCTCCCCGCATACCTGAAAGGAGCAATCCACTCAAGAGAGCACTAGATTTGGCTCAGATTTGGAGGTGACTCTCATTCCTAACACTTCCTGCTCAGCAGCAAACTACTGCCACAGGTCCTGGTTGGATGAGACCAAACAATCAACGTCACCTGCAAATAGCAGGGATGTCACCTCTAGCCCCCTGTGCCGGGTGCCCGTCCAGCTACAGCTGAACCTTGGCATCCCGTCGATGAAAATTACTAACGGGAGTGGAGACAAGAATATCACAAAATCGTGGCTGAGCACTCCATATTCCTGCAGCAACTCCTACTGTAGGTCCAGGAGCACACATTCATATGCGCTCTGCAAATTCACAAAGCACACATAGACTATGTTCGGATATTCCCAAGAACACAATCTGATTCCCCTGAGCCAGAATTCGCATTTAAATTCAATGCTCGGCTCAACCATCTGACAGAATCTTCTCTGCGGTACCCTGGCGTAGACTTTCTCAGGGAGGCAGAGATACCTGTGACCTTGACTAAATACACCCGCTTGAAACAAAACCAACATGAACTGAACCACATTCTTTGTATAATAATAGTCATTCTTTATATAATCTTTGTTTAATCTTAATTGACTGCAGCTGCTCCAAACAATAAGTATCTACATGTCTATTGGCAGAAGTGGAAGTTGGACTTATAAGCCCTTTTTTGAAAAAATAATTACCAAAAATTTGCCGAGATGCTGAGGAGGAAAAAAAAGATGCAGAGAAGATGAGTTTTGCATGTGTGGTTCTCACTATCAAGCAAGGAAAAGGCAGTGTCATGGTCTGGGGTTGCTTTGCTGGTGATTTGGTGATTTTTACCAAATCCATAGCAGCCTCAAAGTGTGCTGTTCCATCAGAATTATGGCTCATTGCATAGCCCCTCTTCTTTATTATGATAACGACACAAAA